CAGAGTAATAGCAATCAGTATGGGCTGGTGAATAAGATAAACTAAGTATGAATTATGGACTGAGTGATTTGATAATAGTCGGCATCATGAAAATTTCAAAGATTGCATTCCGGCGATAATACAATGGACGACAGAAGAACTACCTTTAAAGGTCATTCAGGAAGACTCTTCCCTAAAGCAAGCAATGTGAGTAAAGTTAATCTTAAGGAACTATGTGTGCCAGTTACATTAGGTGTCACCCTCGTGGGTAAGGAATTTTGTTATAATTGGTACAAAAGGATTACCGTAAGGCGAGTAAGGATCATCGATGATTTGAAAAGATGGCAAAGATAAAAAGGTAAAACATCTATAGGTAGATCGTCGTAGCTCTGAACCTTAGTACTCCCCTAAAGGGGGTAATATGGAGTGATGTGGCATTAATTCGGAATTAAGTGGTTCTAGTAACTATGAAATGGTAAAGGAAGAATGTGATAAAAATTAGAAAGGGGTGAGATTGCAGCTATTCAAATCCTATAAATATACTACGATTCTAGAATATTATGCAAACATAATGTCAAAGAGAGGAAGTAAGGGTTCCTGCCCGAGATTTTATTGATAAATAAGGAGCTAGAGCGAGAGGTAAGTTAAATAACCGAAGAAAGATTATGCGGAATATTTATATGAGAATGGACCACCGAGTAGTTAGTAGTTTATTTAGGAAGAGCCTAGTTATGGCTAGACAGGAGGTTACAGACAAATCAGCAAATCTACAAGATAAACATAGTAAAACCCAATATAGTGAATTCAGCCTCGCAGTTATGACATTGTAATACTCGAGATATATTCAGATAGGAGTTGGGGTAGTTAAATGTATTGTATGAGTGTTACGGAAATAAAAGAGAGTGCCAGTGGGAAGACAGTCAAAATATTAGTTCAGAGGCAACCCTACAAGTACAGGGGTGTGGAGATAAGTAACTACGGATAATTATAGGTGAGGAAGAACATCAAAAACTTCGTCGAGTATACCATGTAATATGCTCACATCTTTACAAGAGTTATAGGGTCCTCCTTAAGTACCACAATGAAAGACTAGATGAGGAAATAAGGAAGAAAGCTTCAACCTAAGCATAGTAACTTGAAGAACAAATGGTCATGTAAAAACAGTCTCACTATAATATTGTATGCATTCTATAAGAAAGTGGCACCTACCGTGGCTAATGAACGAGTAGTAAAGTCAAAAGTAATATTCGAGATCATATGAGTTGCATGAAAATTCTGGCATGTGTGGGAACTAAGATAAGCTAAGTATGCACACAACAAGGGGGTAGAAAGACCAAAAAAAGTAATAGCTTATGTTTAAAGATAGCTGAGAAGTAACAAAAGGTATTATTCGATCAATGATCCAAAGTTAGTTATGTTATGTACGTACTTAAGATTTTGGAGTATTAGCCATAAATCATATATGTTGACAATCATACAACCGTAAAAGATTTCGGTATAAGTTAAAAGAAAGAATTGAGTCCAGGTCATAGACAAAGGATTGAATTATTAGAAGATTGTATCATGGATGTTCCATAGCATCCATGAAAGGCTAAATATAACTAATACCATGAGCCACAGATCGAAAGATAGCTTAATCCTAGATAATGGTTGATCAGAGGGAAGAGGAAACAAAAGAGTTACACCAACTAAGTAAATAAAAAGTCTGATTATTGGAACCAGAAAACTATAGAAATCGTGATTGAGAACATTGCAGAATAACTCTTAATATCATAGGTACAAGAGAGATAGTACAACAACATATTCTATAATGGCGCTACAATAAAGCGAGTTAGAAGAGTACCAGCCTCATAAGAAGTTAGTATGGAGCTCCCACTGGATTATGTATGCACTAGAGGTGTAAGTATTATAATAGAGTTTCAAGTTATGAATGTAAATTATACCTATATGGAAGGGAGGTCATGAAAGTAATAGAAGATGTGATGCGAGATTTTAAGGTAAGTAAGGTAAATGTGAAAAACGTATGAGATACTTAGGTGCAGAAGGTTGTGAATAATCTATACTTTAGGTAGAGAGCTAGAAGCACTGGGATTTAGTATCCAGGAATGATAGCGGTGTCATTAGTGGAATATCTTCCAGCCTATGGTTTCTAGGTATCAAGAGGTCTAGCTAAGAGAGTAAAGAAGAGTTAGAGACAATGCGATGTCTCATTTGATGTTCCAGAATAACACAAGGAAATCTATGGTGTAAGTAAGTTGAAGGAAGGTTGCGAGTAGTATAAATAGATATGTATAGGCCGCAAGCTAAAGTATGGTAAAACAACAAGATTTTAGAAGGACATGAGTAAGGATAAGAAAGGGCGAGTGAGAAGGTGACGAGAATGAGTAAGTCCTCAGGATTAAGCATTAGTCCAAGTAAAGAGTTATGCGGACCGAAAGGTTCGAGATGTGGCCAACATGGCAGGTGAGAAGGTTCCTCTCTAAATGTCGCCTATAAAAGGCATGATGCATTTTGGGAAGAAGGGCAAGTTGATCCCGAGGTTTATTTGGCCGTTTGAGATCTTGTAGGGAGTTGGAGAGGTTACTTATATGCTTGAATTGCCTCCTAGTCTAGCTGGGGTACATTCGGAATTTCATGTCTCCATGCTTTGGAAGTACCATGGAGATAGATGACATATTTTAGACTTCATCACAGTACAACTTGATTAGAATTTGACCTTTGAAGAAAAGTCGATGGCTATTATAGACCCGCAGGTTCAAATGTTGAGGTCTAATAGTTTCCCTTCTGTGAAGGTGCATAGGAGAGGTCATCCGATTGAGGAGGCTATGTGGGATTCTAAGTCATATATGCAGAGTAGATACCTACACATTTTCACCAGTCCATGTATATTTCTCTATCCATTTTAGGACGAATGTTTCTTTTACAGATAGAGAATGTGATGACTCGATTGGTCATTTTGAGTAATAACTTTATTTCTATGTTCCGAGACCTTCCATAGCTTTATTTGATGTTATATGACTTGCGTGTGTGGTCCGTATTATTTTTCGAAAAGTTTTTATGTGATATTTTAAAGAAAAAGTTATGTTTTGCTTAAAATGAAGCTAGAGTTTACCATGGTCAGTATTTTGGTAAATACATCGGATCAGTGTTTTGACTATTTCTGTAGTTTTTTTAATAATAATCCAATCACCCAAGTTTTCATCTCCTGTGGTGTTGGGGGGGTTTGGCTCGGATCCCTACCTCGTCGAATATAATAACAAAAAGGTACAACCAAGGGGGACATAAACTTTACCTCAATGGTGTCATTCCTACAATGTAATGAAGGGTGTATGGGCAAAAAAAACAATTAGTTGACCCCTTCTTCCTATTATATACAACTTAACTAACATAAAAGTTAGACTTTTCATATCTAATTCTAAATGATGGTACTTGCCATTTATCCATAAAGAAAGGACCTTTGGCGTCTTTGGGAATTTGCTGGAAATGATCTCTTCTAATGAAGTAGTGACATTCTTTGCAAAACAATCCGCAACCTGATTTGCCTCTCGATAGCAATAACTGATAGAGGCATTAGCATGTTCTAATATCTCAACAATATCATCGATCTCCTTCCTTAGAGTATAGTTGTGCAAAGTTCTGTTTTGAAGTATGTTGTGAATCACCAAAGAATTAATTTCCACCATGAAGCTGTTGATTCTATTGTTGACACACCACTCGCACCCAAATTTAATCGCCCTCAACTCTGCGACATTGTTGCTACCACATATGATAGGGATTGAGAAAGCCATGATAAATTCTCCTTTATCGTTCGTGAGAACCCCTCTTATCCCTGCTTTGCCACTTTGTTTGTCGAAACTCCCATCAGTGTTAATCTTTAGTTTCCTTGTTGGGGCTTTTCCCATAATAGACATCTCCAAATTGGAATAGGTTTGAGTCTCTCGAATAACCCACAGTTCCTATACCAATTATTATGAGTGAGAATAGAGGGAAACTTTCTGTTTATAGTAGCATTGATGTTCCAGAGAATTTGGGATTTCATCTTGTATTGATTGAACTTTATACCATCCCCAAATTTTCACAATGTATAGCTTCTCCAGATTTCCCAGCAAACAAAGATTGGCATAATATGTAATATCATCTTATACTAAATTCTTTGGTTTCCTCTGCCACCATTGGGTGAGGACACCACTAATGGAACCAGAGATATGTTGGATTCCCAAAGGATTTCCAAAGAACTTCCATAGGCAAATAGCAGCTTCACTATCAAAGAAAACTTGTTGTATATTTTCACATTGGGGGATACTACAACAATTGCATTTTGAAACTGGTTGATTGCCAAACCTCCTGGTAGTGTCATCAAAAGGAAGCTTTCTCTGAATCATTCTCCAAATAAGAAATGACATTTTGAAAGGGATATCGTCATGCCAAACTTTACCAAGAAAAGGATTTCTCTGTTTAGTGGTTCATACCATGTGCCAAGAAGTGGTATTAGAGTAATGACCGTCCTCGATGACCTCCAAGAAGCATAGTCATTTTGATCTTGTCTTCCTCTTGGGATACAATTGATATGTTCAGCAATTTCAATGGGAAGGACTCTTTCCAATTTATTAAGATCCCATCTCTCACATCTGAAGAACTCTGCAACTAAAAATTTCCCAGAAGTTCTAGAATGATTGACTATTTTAGCGAGTGGTCCTTTACCTGTCAAATCATCCCACCAGAAGCTACATTTCCCTGTATTAATATTCTAGTATATATTCTTTTCAGCTCTATCTCTAATTTGAAGCATACCTCTCCAAGAGTGTGAATTCCCAGATGTAATAGCTTTAGAGACTGGGTGTGCTCTAATGTAGTTTTTGGCTTTTAAAAAATCAGCACACAAAGAGGGGCATGTTCTGAACCTCCACCACCTTTTGATTGAGCAAATGTCATTTATCTCCTCCATTCTTCTAATGCCTATTCCTCCCTCTTCTTTTGGAATGCATAGGTTCTTCCATAAACTCCAGTGAAATTTGTTCTTATTACCATGGGAACCCCCAGAGGAATCTAGCAAAGTGTTTCTCAATGAGATTAAGCGTAGCTTTTGGAGGGGACATTGCAGAAAAGGTGTATAGAGGGAGAAATTGTAGAACATTTTTAATAATAACCACTTTCCCTCCATACGATAGCATCTTTCCTTGCCATCCGCTTATTTTCTTATAAATCTTTGCAATCATATAGATAGGGCATCCTAGACACTTGAAAGGAAATTGTTTGTCCATAAAGCCAGTGGTTCTCCTGATTCTATTTATCCTTCCAGCTTTAGTATTAGGAGTTGTAATGAAGAAGCTCTTATTGACGTTGAGTTTTTGCTCGGATGCCTTACCATAGTTCTTGATATTATTCACGATGAGCTTGATGGATTTATTGTTGCCTGCCATGAAGATGACAATATCATCCACATAAGCAAGATGATTAATTTGAGGACTTCTTGTTGGCATGTTAAAAGGAGTGAAATTGTCGTCTCCATGAATCTTGCTAAGAGATCTGGTGAGAACTTCAGAACCCGGAATGAACAAGGAAGGAGAGAGGGGATCACCTTGCTTCAACTCTTGTAAAGATGTAAAGAAACCATGCCCTGGTGCCATTAAGAATAATAGAATACCAAATATTGGAAAGTAGATTCTTTGTGATATTAATCCATTGTTATGAGAAATCGAATTTCTCCATCACTGCAGTAATGAAGTCCTAAGAAATTCTATTATATGCCTTTTCTATGTCTAGTTTAAGCACAATATTACCCCATTTGTTGGAGCCCTTTATACCCTGAACAATCTCCTGAGCAAGAAGATTGTAGGTTCATATGATGTTTTGGACTTGCATGCATGTTTGGTTGGGGTCCTGGTGACCCAAGTGCATTTCGGTGCATTATGTGAAAATTGGCAAATATTTGAGTTGTAAGTTAAAAATAATGCGTTTTGATGATTGATTCTTGATATTTGATGTTATTTTGATGATTTGAGTTAGCAAGCGAGTTTGTATGATGTTATTTTACTTTTGTGAATGCTCGGATTGGATCCTGAGGGGCTAGGTAAAGTTTTAGATGTGTTTTGGGAAGTTTTGGAGGGGCTATTATGCATGTGCAGACCTTGTATTTGCATGGTCTTGCTCGAAAATTTGAGCATTGCTTTAGCGGTCAATGTATCACATTTGAGAAATGGGCTTGGGCTGGGTGTGTTCGCATTTGCGAGGGCAGGTTCTCTTCTGTAGAGATTGGGCCTTTGCATTTGTGAGCAACTTTGTCACATTTACGACTCCTCAACATTTAGGACAATTTCACAATTGTGAAGCTAGGATCGCATTTGAACACATGGGGGTTGTCGGAAATGTGAGGCTTTTGCAGACTTTTGTTCGCATTTGAGGGACTGTGGTACAGTTTGTATTTGCGGACTATGGCACCTTTTGCATGGGGGTTGTCGTAAATATGAGGGACTGTGGCACAATGTGCATTTATGAATTGTTGTTCGCATTTGCAGGCATCGAAATTGTGAACTAGAGTTCCCAATTGCGATTCCAGTTGTCACGCCCTAGGGGTTCTACGTGTGAAATTTCTTTTAAATTGTGTTAAAAGAGAAGAGTCTCCACCTAATGATTTTGAAGGTGCATTAGGGGAAGGATTTGCAAATAACTTTGTTTTAACTAGTCTGTGTCAGCAAAGATCGGTTAAGGGTTCAAATTAACTCAAAGAGAATGTGTTAGGCACTCTTCGAGGTCCTTAACTGTGGGTCCCGACCGAAATTAACTCTATATAGGATTATTGGATTATAATTGTCCTATGTGACCATGTAAATTAAAGGAAAGTAGGGAATTCAATTATTTGACTACGACACAAAGCAAGTGTGAAGAAGATTGCACGCAAGAAGGAATTAAAGAATACATTAATAAATGATTAGTACAAGTCTTTAGAGATTACAAAGTACAACCTAAGTTATTCTAAGTCCGATGAAACAAAGATGCGAGCAATGGGCATATTTGGGCGGGGGATCCTAAGTTTTTTAGCCTAAAGGATCACCTCGTGCAACACAAATAATACTTCACAACTCCTTTATGCTAGGGGTTACTCATATTATTCAACGGGCACAGACTATCATCTCATGCTACCTGATTACTATATTGAAGTTGCTTACCAAAAACGCTCTAGTCAAATTCTTGGTCGTATCTATACGTGCACTACCTGTCCCATGCCTATGGTCCAGGAGGCTTTGGACCTATTATTTGGGTTGTTATAGTCTTTACTTAGGGTGATCAAAGTGATAAAACTACGCACACATCCAAAACAAGTAGGACTACACATAATAACAACGAATGACTCAAGTTAGCTTCCACAGATAAGCAACAAAAGCATGCGAACAGATTTCACATTCTGCAGTAGATAGTTTTAGAATCTAGATGTATTAGAGTCATTTATAAACTATAAGCAAGTATTCTATGTGACCACAAGGTTTAAACATTTCATGGATAGTGCTTCTATTTAGATTATCGAAACTACAGATTAAAAGTGTTATAAAAAATACTACAATTGCTCAAGTTAAGCAAATAATGAAAGATGTTTGGTTCCTATAGGCATGCTATCTAATAGTGCATAGAAGTAAGCATGTTAACAAGTGAAACACATAGGTTCTTATAGATATGTTTCTGATAGTGTGCGGGATTAGGGCATGTAAAGCGAGTGAAGTGTTTAAGTTCATATAGACAGGATTTATATTAGTTTATAGAAATAAAGCACATCAAACAAATAGCAAACAAGCAATTAAACCATAAGGATAAGTTCTCTACGCATTCATGCGAGTATTAGAATACCCCAGCCCCCATTTTCACTAATATCCCCATCGTTCAGTTTTACAATTTATTACAAACCACATTGAATACTTACAGGCCCAATTACAAAAAATAAAATAACCCAGTAACGCATTTGGGCCTTCGCCTAGGCTTAGAACTTCATGCGGACAACAGGCTCAAACTCCAGGTGCGAACAATGTACTTCAGACCTCCAGTTCAAAAAGAATGCCCAACATACCAGGCCAAAACGACTTCTTTAACTACCCATTTGTATACCAAACTAGCTATAATAATATGAGTGACAAATTATATGCTCGACCAATTAAGCAACATTTAAATCTAAGCACTTAACCTTTAATGCTAAAAGGAATATAGGCTTCTCAACTAGAGGCATACAAACAGGATTACTCAAAAGTCTCATCAAGCATACACATCATACACATCTTTTACTTCCCAAAAACAGGTTAAGAGATAGTGCACCAAAGTTAAATAGAGTTTCCAAATAAAACATGGTCTAGAATTAATCTAAAGGTATTTTTGACCCAGGAGTCTTAGTCATGGCGGTCTAATAGAGTCATATCCAGGAGAACAACGATAACAATAGGATAGTAGGCATGATCCATAACGACATAACATGCTGAGTATACACAAAGATTCCATAATCTGAAGAACTCATGGTATGAAGACATTTGACTTAAATTTAATTGAAAATACAGACTCTAGGGCTTATGCCAGTTGACAATGCACAGTAGAAGAGGCTAAGTATATTGGAGTTCAATTAGAAGTTTTAGGCCGACCCTAGAGAATGCAGGATAGAACAAACTTCATAGAGAATTCTCAACAACATGTTAAGACATTAAGACAACAATTGGCACATAACGTTCATATAAGCATAAAGTGGGGAGAAACAATGGAGTGTAACAATAGGTGATCAAGACAGCGGAGCAGGCTAAAAATACACAAGATCGTTCAAGCTAGACATAATAAGCATGTATTGAAGTTTAGATTCTAGGCAGATTGTGACTAGGGAATTCAGGAATGCGGGATAAATTCAAAGCAAGTAGGATTGCAAAAATAACACACTAATAAAGTCATATTGATTCACAAAGATTAAACAACCATGAACATACAAAGCACAGAATACAAGCAGAGATGAAATAAGATTGCAAGAACCGAGGTATCATAATAATTCAAAACAAAGTAAAAAGACAAACTTAAGCTAATCATCAAGTATCAGCAGAGACAGCAGAATAAATAGGTTTATGAGAACCAGAAGTCGTTTAAGCTAAACACATATTATAGGCATATATTATAATTAGAAACTAGGAAAATTCAGATGCTAAATGTATAGAGTCACATGAATACTTCAGAACAAATAATGCTACAAACAAGATGGAGTAATAGAACATGAATTCACACAAGTCTTAGTGGCACAAAACATGAATATGAACGAAATAAAAGGAAATTTCTAACGCCAAGAGATTTACCAGTTGCAAATATATGAGCAAAATAAGAAGAATGATCTCAGCACTATCCCAATCGTTAGTAGAAAAAAAAGCAACATAACCCCAAAATCCTATTGCGTCAGAGTTCCCAAAAGTTTTAGGTGAACTCCGAGCAGTGCTCACACTAGAGAGGTTGGTAAAGAAAATTTGGTGGCCTTGGCTTTCAGCCAGCCAAAGTCCGAAGTTTAGAATAGTAGAATGAGTGATAATGAGAGAGCAATAGAAATAGTTAAGGCCTGTTTGGGGAAACGAAAAATAGTTATGGAAAACAATCAATTAAGACAAATAAGGAAATAAAATATCAAATGCAATTAGTAATAGTGCCAATAAAGGGAGAAATCGAATTCCAAACCCTAATTAGGGTTTTGAAAATTAGTATGATGGTGTGAGAAATCAACCCTTTTTCCATTTATATGGATGTGATAATGTACAGATCTTAGAGATCAAAGTTGAACGGGCCCGATTCTGAGAGATGGTACTCTCCAAGTTTAGACAAGTATTAAGTAACACCATTGTTGCGTAGATAATGATGCGATACCAAAAATAAGGAAGGTGCATCACAAGGATATTCAATTGTCTAGCTGGAATAGGAGAATGATTAGAGATAAGGAGGATAAGGTTTCACAGGGGGGAAAAGCATTGGGAGCGTTTGAGGGCGCAGAGACGGGAATTATCTCTAGGGTTTAATGGGAGGGGATATAAGGAGACAGGTAGGGCTGTTGTAGGCTGTTGATCATTTAAGGTCAATGACCATTATCGAAGGGGAAGAGGGGCGAGTTATTGATGGAACGCGACCGGGTTAAGTCAAAGGGGCGCTTGGTTTGGGCTACTGAGAGGTAAGATGAGATGGGCTAGGTATTTGGGCCTGATCTTTTGTCTAAAATAGTCTAAAAATTAGGCTACATATTAAATACACAAAATTCAAATTTTTTTTATTTATAGAAAATGACTAATAAAAATACTTAAAAATATATGCTATTATTGTAACTAGTGTAGTTACAATAGAGAAAATGCAAATATAATTATATGAAAATGAGAAAAAATATTATAAAATGCACATGGGTATAAATTGATAAATTTTGATGATTAATTAACTCTAAATTTAATTTAAAGGGATGATTAATAAATATTTGAAAAAATTAAATGCAAGAAAATCAATTTTAAAATATTAAAAAGTGTAGAAAATTATAGAAAATACATATATGACTCTTGTAAATTGAGTAATAATACAAAATGATATTTTAAAAGTGTATAAAATATATTATAAAGTATGAGTAAAAAATTGGGTATCAATAGCTTGCCCT